GGTAATCCTCATCAGGAGGCGTTGATGTCGATGATGGATGAGGAAAAGGCGGTGGAAGTGATATGTTGAAACGAAGTGGGTCATGAACATTTAATGGCGGACTGGGTTGATGTAGAAATGTACGCGGATAATGACCATCCGAGACGTTGAGGTTACGTCCCGAGCTATTATCCGTGAGTGGAAAAATATGAACTGGCGGATTATTCGATGGTTGTATGTGGATCTGTTAGAGCGGCTGGTTTGATTGACCAATCTTTATGATTAAATGATTTTCAACCAAAGTTCGAAACAGGCTAATAGAAGATTTACCTCAACTGCTTCAGTTATGTGCAATGGTGCATCAGAAACCGCAATAAGAATATCTCCGTGTAAGGACTCGATATTCTCAATTTCCGATTGGTACACGAATGCCAATCTACAATAACACGGTAAAGTTTGTGAATGACTGACAAAGAACGTGACACGCTGGTAAATTTCCACAAACCTCGGACTTTCATCAGTTTCGTATATACTTTTGATGCTGATATCCACATCCAGATCAGCCTTTTCCAGTTCTAACCTCTCTGATTCGAGATTAGCATTTGCAGCCCGAAGTTCTTCGATCTTTTGTTTGTAATCTTGGCGAATTGAATATGCAGATTGCTGCCGTTGTGCTCCCCTATGACATTATGATTGGTGATTATTGCGATGATTAGTGACGCGATTATATCACGCAGGTTCATTATCAAAATAGATGATACTTTTAAAGAAAAAGAGATTGGATAGACATAAACTTACTTCCAACGAACATGATTTTTCGTGTTTTTTTCAATCAAGCCAATTCCTTCCAATACGTTGGTAATATCGTATATTCTGCGCTTTTGAACCTGTAACGCAGTGGCCGCCGTATTCAAGTCCAAATCTCCATCCTTTGCTTCCTTTAATAGATTCACAAATTTCTTCGTGAGGAGACCGAGAGAACTGTCATAACGGCACGAACCAGCGTTTCCACTGACGTTGTCTATAAAGTAAGTAGTTGTTAAGCCAAAAACTTGAGCAAATTTTCTGGTTTTTTTTTTAACGTATCAGTTATTATATAAAGTTAAAACAGTGGAGATTTAAACGCTTCAGCCGAATGGTTACCATTCGTCGGAGAATCCAGTGGGGACTGTTTTTTAGAGGCTTGTTTTCTCCGCAAGGCGCTTGGTCTCGCAGATGAGGAAAGGTTAAGTATTTCTCTCCTGCTTGAAGCAATACCTCTGCGGGTATTGACCGTGGTTGAATTTAATGACATATTGACCAGTTTGCCCAAGGGGAAGGACGTCAATCTGATATGCGGTGTAAATAGATATTAAGATGATGAGACGTCACTGCGGTTTTTTTAATGAAAGAACCCTAAAAGAGAGTTATAAGTACCAATTGACCAATAGAAGTAATCGAACGCAATTTTTTCTAAAGCAGTAAAAGGTACAAACCTATACATTTCTCATTGTCTCA